TGGGAAAATTGTTATGCAAGTTATTTGGTTCTACTTTTTTATTTGATGTTGGTGATAAATAATTGCACTTAACTATTTACGTAATTAAAAGACAAACGATGATCAGCAATCATTAATGCTTATTTAGAAAGACGGTACGGTTTGATAAAAAAATGTATACAATCTTTATTACTATACATATATACTATATATATCATTTAGTTATTTTTTCAATAATTACTGTTAATTTCCGGCTCGGAAAAAGCAAAAACTTTTTAAGCATAATAAAACAATATTTTGTCTTTATTTAAGTTAATTCATATTAGTTAATACATATGACGTCCAATAAACTTATAAAAAACATAGTAGTAAAAACATGTCTAGATTATATTCATGCAAATTAACAACGTCTTAAAATACATAATATTTAGATCCTTAAATGTAAAAAAAAGATAAAAGTAATGGAAACAAAAATTTATTTTGCGCAAAAAGGTTGCTCAAATCTTTTAGGTATTTCCTGTGTACATGGTTTCGTCTACTAAAACTGTATCGTCTTTTGGCATACTTTCTGGCTGGTATGTTACTTTAAAAAGTTTATCGTAAAAAAGATGAAAATTATCCTCGGATATATCTCTGAAAAATGTGCAAGAGGGAACTTTGACTGCTACTCTTATTTGTTTTTCAGGATCCTTAAATAAAGAAAAAATTAAATAAACAGTCAGGGCAGTTTTATAAAAGCGCCACTCTTCTATTTCTTTCTTCTTTTTCTTCTTTTCTTTTTTCCAATTGTCATGAAGCATGTCACGAATTTTCTCGATAGTTAATTTTGTATCGCCCTTTCCAAATTCCCATTTTTTAGCATTTTTATAACTATACAAAACTAAACTTAGTTGTTCGGGATTCATTTTGTTTGGCAAATCAGGTAAACTCATTCTTTCAACAGCCGTTTCAAAAAAAATTTTTGCCAATAAAATAAAAGACTAAAACAAAACTTCGTTCATTCTTTTCTTTTTTCAATTCTAGGGTGTTTACTTGTTCGACTAGTCGGCCCATATCTTCTTTTGAAGTATTATCCAAATTGATATTGATGATTTCCTTTATCTTATCGGCTTCCTCTTCATTGACTGTAATCATGTTTGTTATTTCATCATTGTACTTTTTTTTGGATTTTTTTGGTGCTTTTAACAGAGCATCTAAATCAAAAGCCGTTCCGTTGATTTTTACTTCAGTTCCTTTTTTTGTTTTAGTAAACTCGATTTTTTCTATGCTTCTTTTTGTTTGTATTCTTTCCATTATATCTTGCGAAGACATTATCGAACCTGCACAGAATGATATCTTCACCCATCTTGCTAAATAGTGTGTAGATTTTTTGGCTTTATGTGTTTGTATATCATATTCTGCTTTATCTTCTGCAAAGTCGCGTCTTTAAAAATGATGGATGGTCATAAACAAGATCATCATCATCACTCCACTTGTTAGAGAATGCATTGAGATTAATTCTTTTCGTTTGTATTCTTTCCATTATATCTTGCGAAGACATTATCGAATCTGCACAGAATGATATCTTCACCCATCTTGCTAAATAGTGTGTAGATTTTTTTGGTTTTATGTGTTTGTATATCATATTCAGCTTTATCTTCTGCAAAGTCGTGTCTTTAAAAATGATGGATGGTCATAGACAAGATCATCGTCATCGCTCCACTTGTTAGAGAGTGCATTGAGATTAATTCTTTTCGTTTGTTTTATGTGTTTTCCTGTATATCATATTCGTGTCTTTAAAAATGATATTTCTTGTTATTAAATCCTGCATTTCAAACCGCCAAATTACTTTTAGACAACCTTATATTTATACTTACTATAATATATTCTTCTTAATTCTTTGCCAATAAGCTTCTAACCTATTATTTTGACGTTCTTGACTTAACCTAATGTAAAAATAAATATTATAATAATTTAATATAGTAATTAACTTTTTTTTATAATCAAAGAAATATTCATAACCAACTCCTCTCTGAATTGGTAGACCTTTAAGTAGCCTTTATAAAAGGAACCGGTTTTTTAGAATTAATAAACTTTTATTAAAGGTACTTTTGATTAAAGGTACTTTAGAGTGCCTGAACTGAGGACTTGAGAGTGGTTACCAAGCTGTCGAATCCAGTAATTCTTCTGAACATGGAGTTCTATGAACAGAAGTTACCCCTCTGTCAAAAAAAAAGAAAACTCACTTTCTCTTTTAAATCGCAAAATGAAGTTTGGTCCAGGTCTTCAACTTCTCTCAAGTATCGGTTAGTCCAGATATGATCAGGCATAAAATAATAGACTACACGTTTTGAGTTTGATAAATAAACCATGAGCCAATGCCTCTAAGGCACCCAACTCCTTCATAATGTTCCATGCGACAAACATTTCATAGCCAGTAGCAGCCGCAATAGAAGAACCCAGTGTGCAAGTATGAATAAAGAAAATAATTTTCTGAAATAATTATTGTGTTTATATAGGCTAGAATGGAATCAAAACACGTATTATATTGTTGTGATAGCACGTGTATAAATAACCAATTAGAAAAAAGCAACCCAATCACAAGATCAGGTGTAATGTGAATAGCCAATCAGGGAACGATAATCCTAAAAGGTAATCCTAAAAGGGGGGATGGCTAAAGCAAGGTGCGTTTGAATTACTTTTTTTGATGCAGTAATGGTTAGTAATTTATATAAATGTCGTACCCCAGATTGGAATCGGGCCGTCCCAATTCAGAATCGGGGTAGCCGGATTTAGAATTCTTATACGGGGTACATATAGGATAACTTTCTCGTGATTGGTCGTCACATGAAATTGAATAACACGTTATTATTGGCCAATTGTGAAAC